AGGTGATGCCCTGTGTGAGGTGATGTCCGCATGCAGGTGATGCCCTGTGTGAGGTGATGCCCCACATGCAGGTGATGCCCTGTGTGAGGTGACGCCCTGTGTGAGGTGACATCCCTTGTGTGAGGTGACGCACTGTGTGAGGTGACGCCCTGTGTGAGGTGACGCCCCTTGTGCAGGTGACGCCCTGTGTGAGGTGATGCCCAATGCAGGTGGCACCCCCAGGTACTCACCGACAGGCGGCAGCTCGTACTCCACCTCCAGCACCACCCTCTCCCCCACGTTCTTCAGCAGGCTGATGATCTCGTCATGACGGAACTTGGCCAGGTTGATCCCGTTCACAGCCTTGATGTAGTCCCCCACATCTAGCTGGTCACTTCTGCAAAATGACAGGGTGGCTTCAGAGACCATCCTCACCACAGACAGCCTGACCCCAGCTCCGTCCCCTTCATGAAAAATCTCATGGATATGCTTCCCTGAAGACTGGGGTGAGGGTCACTCAGAGTCACATGTCCCTGCATCCCTGCTACCTGGGACACTGGGAGGGATCACCTGGGGGCTGCCACTATCTACGACTTTTTCCTAAGAAATCTTTTGTGTCTTTTATTTTTTAAAGGATCACACCTATGCTGCACAATGCAAGGGTACATGTCGGACCTATTAAGCATAGAGTATAAATGTCTTAATATAATCATTAAGTAAATGAGGGGAGGGATACATCAACCAGTACTAAGTAACCATTCCAAATTGTATAGGAAATCAGCACATTGTACCCTCTAAATGCATTAATGTATACATCATCTACAACTTTATTGTTTAAGAATAAAAAAAGAACCATAAAACAAAACAAAGGGGAATGGTTTTAGTTGCTTTGCCCAAAAATTGGTTCTTTGGGGGTAGGATCCATGTCCTATCATGCCAGGCCTTTATTTGTCCCTCATTCCCTCTTGTTTTTGCTTCCTGACTTTTGTACATTTCATAGCTTTTAATATCTGCACTGGGAGTTTGTCCAGGACTAAGGTAGCATCAGCTCATTCTGCTGTTCACTGTGTACAGCTGGGTAGAAAGAGCCCTGGGAAGAGGCCACCAATCACATGCTGGGTGGTGGGGACACCCGATCGGCCACCATAGCCAGCATGGGCCATCCCTGTGCACTTAGTCTAGTGCTACTGCAAAACAGGGAGCAGGTGGCACGGGTCAGAATTCCTGTCACTGACAAGGATCTTCAATAGCATTTTCTCCAAAAATAGAAACAGTGTGCTTATTTCATATAAACCAGCCCCAAGTATTCCTCCCTCAGAGTGTTCCCCATCCTTTGTCCTTCCTCAGAGAGCCTCTTCCCATCCTCTGTCCTGCAGAGAGCCTTCCCCATCCTCTGTCCTGCAGAGAGCCTTCCCCATCCTGTCCTTCC